GCATGAACCAGTATAGGTTAAAGTGAGGCGTTAATTAACACAAGGGTTCAATTCATCCAACATCATATCTAGGGACTAGGGATAAGCAGTTTCGGGTGTCCACCCCAAATTAAAAGAACTGGACCAGACAATTCCTTAGATTTGGAATCAGAACTGGAATCTGAAACATAAGTTTCGATTCCCATTCCATTTACCTAGGATAATTTTAATTACACTTTTAAAAAAAATTACAAATAAACCCTCAAAATTGAATACACCCCAATAGTTATAGGAATTACAAATACACCCCAACTCTAACTGTTTATAAAAATTACAAGAGCCCATGCATCTTTCAATCCAACACTCTTATTCAAACATTTAAATAAACAAGCATATACATGGTAGCACAAGGAGAAACATTGTCATTTTAAATACATTTGTAGACGATTGTTTGAGTGAGATGAATAACACTGGAAAAAATTTGTCATAGTTGTTATTTTTTCGGAATTAATAATATATCATAATTTTGTAAATTGTTATTTCAAATAAATTCAAGGGAAGTTATTTTTTAGACCCCATCTAGTTTTTCAGTAACTCTCATTGTTAAATTACCTATTTAATATAAAAAATAACTCTCTATGTTAAATTAAGTTTTTTATTCACACCGCCTTTTTTCCTATTTCAATTTTGCTACTTAACTTTTTTTTTTTTTTTTAGATTCATGTTGCTATATAATTACCTTTTTATTGTTTTGATAATATATTTTCATAAAAAAATGAAATAAAATAAAATGTGTTAACGATTATGAAAATTTAAAGTTATGTTTATGTAAGAATTAATAAAATAAAATAAACGATGCTTAAACATTTCAATGGAAACAAAATGTTTAGGTAATAATTTTCTTTAAGGTTCAAAATAATAATAAAATAAAATAAAGTTGACAGGCTCAAACATTAGCATATTTTTAAAAGCTCAAACTTTTGGGTTTTGGGCCCAAGAAGAATCCTATTCGGCCAATTTAACACCTTCTTTCCAGCACATTCCAAAAAGAAATATTAAAGAACGAGAATTAAGTCAAATTCTTCTTTTTTTATTTCCGGAACAAGAAACTCCCATGGAAAAACCAGCATCAGAATCAAACTCCAAAGAGCTTCAGTGCGTTGGAACTTTAGAAATCGTAAAACCCAAACCGGTTGGTTTCCTCTGCGGTTCAATTCCAGTTCCCTACAAAACATTTATTTTCTTCTTCTTGTTTCCATATTTATTGGATTTGAGATGTTTCTGTAACTACTTGTATTCGATGCATCAATGCCATTCCTAAGTTGTAATTTCTTGACTGCTTGACTGCTTGGCGAGAGAAGAGAGAAGAGAACGCTCCAAAGTCCAAACCGGTTTTTCAATGTTAAGCGAATTGGGTATTTTGATTTTGAAATGTAAATTTTAAGACACCCCAGTTTTTTATGCTATTTGTTTCACCCCTGGATCCTAAACCACTTCCCAGCAGGATACCCAAATGTAGGTTCCGGTTCTGGTTTTCCGTTCCAGCACTGCAAGAACCGGAACCAGACCCAGGAATTGCCGGTTCCAATTTTCCAGAACCAAAACCAGAACTACCTTGTAAGGGCCGATTCTTGTTCCTACCCGGAAGCGGCAATCCAGGTACCTACCCATTCCGGTCTACCCTTTACCCATGCTTACCCATAAATTTCATATCCTTACAATAATAATTCATGAATAATTATTTTGGTTTTCAATTCAACAGACTGTTATGTATGTCAGTCAATGTAAAGTTCCAAACTCATATAGCATATCAAATTAAGAGTAGAATCCAACCACAAAATGTCCAACAAGCTTAAGTTATGTATATTGTATGGGCAAAAATTCGTGTTGGACCTCATGAGACCCAACAGATAAGATAGATAGATGACAGTCCAAGGCCTTAGGCAAATTCCGGTTGGATCTACGCTTAAATCTACTTTGCAAATTGGCCTTTCTACGATTTGAGTTATCCTCCAAGCTAAGCTAAACTGGGTCAAGCCCACTAGCCCACAACAATCCAAAAATAGAAAGCAAAATCCTATTCAATTTTCACTTCTGTCAGGATATCGAATCGCAATCATAAATGTTAAGCTTAACCCAATAAGGAAATGAGATCTTATCTCTTTTCTAATGACAACTCTTTTATAAGATCGGAACCTAGATCCCAAAAGGTTGAAGTCAAAAAAAGTCTGATGAGCCTTTTAGTTTAAGCCTCCCCTCTTCACTTTCGTATTTAAGTTAGTTGCTTAGAAAAGCCTTACATGCCATATCTAGTTGATTTTTCCATATCTAGTTGATTTTTCAAAGATACATTCTAAATCAAAATGCGAAAGCCTCTATATTCCGTATCTTTTTTTAATAAGACAACCCAATTATTCTCCTTTTATTACTAGGATTCAAATCTCTTGGGTTCATTATATAAGCAGGGACAGATTCCCTCATTATTCATTCAGAAATCACCTGCAACACTTAAGGTCTAAAAGTTCTTGCTCCCAAGAACTGCCGCATGACTCTGCTACTCTCTCCCCTTAGCCCTCACCAAATAGCCTCTTTCAGTCTCATTGACTTGAACATTGAAGTGTCTACGGTAGGCACCATACTGGTGTCTATCTAACCTTCATGTTCCCTTTTTGTGCTCTTTGTGCAGGTCTACCAGATTGTCAACGGCTCACTTCGTAAATGATTAGTCCCTCTCAATTTGACTATAGATTTTATTGTCTACATATATCAATCAATGTAAATTACCGGAACTAGATTGTGTGATAACTTGGAATATTAGAGGGTACGTAGTTTAGCAATAAAGATGGAGGACATTATGTCGTGTAGCAAGTAGCAAATCCTATTATCATTATTTTCTGGACTGCAATTCCTTGGGCTTTGGAGGTTAACCACTCAAAGCTACCCTCAGAAAATACGCAATGAAATGAAGCCCAATTAAGAAGTTGCCCACAAGCCCGTCCAAATATTCTAGAAATGAAAGAATTTTAATTAACTCGTCTCCTGTGGATTAATGTTGATGTAGCTAGCATTGTGACTTGTGAGCACACAAGATTTGCAAGTTGTACTTATATGTAATGGAATCAAAGTTCGCCTTTACCCTATTTAGAGGGCTTAATGGTATTTACATTTTCGGATCCAGCTAGCGGTTTCATTAACAAGCTCATGAACAGAATATATATCATCGTTAATTTTGGTCTCTTAACATATCCTCTTGGGGACGATTTTCTTGATTCATTTTAATTTACAAGTTAAACTAGAAACAGAAGTTTCACTAGCATATAAAAGAATCTGGTTAACTTGTTTTAAACATTTACCAAATCAGACAAAACTAGAGACCAAATCTTTAGCCTGAGTACCTAAAATTTTCTTTTTCATCAACTAATCACAAAATTATTTTTCCTCCATCACCAAAATCAAAATTTCTGGCAAGTCAATTAACAACAACTTTCACTTGTATTCTAATGTATAAATGCGTATATATAAGTACAAAACATACCTTGCATGAAAAAGAACTATCATGTTCTTCCTAAACGCTTCAGCGGGCAATGCTGCAACGATTCGGTTATTGAGTATATGGGTATAAATAATTTATTAGGTTAGTCAATTTTTCACTAAGAAATTTAGAATTGTACGAGCCATTAGTCATGATATATATTATATATGCATTACAATTGTCGCGATTTGTCATATCAAAGTACACGGGTACTGGAGAGGGCACGAGATGAAAGTTCAAAGTAATAAATATGGGCATAATCTGACCGGAGACACGCCTGAAATATCACCATCTTTCATCTTTTTGAAGGGCAATTACAATCGTGCACAACCTTGTCCAAAAGTTGATGTTGTATTTTCAAGCGGAAGCTTCATTGGAGGTGGACCCTGTCTTCAAATATAGCATCTAGTTCATTCTACATTTTTCTAAGGCATCAAATTAATGTGGTAATTGTTCTCTTGTACTTATTTCCTATATATATTCCAATCTACTTTTGTTTGTCCTTGGTTATAGTTTGGCACTTTGGCCCCGTCTCTAGTCTTTTCTTGCCACACTTGCATTTTACACGAGACAGCCCTCGTGTTTGAGGGTGTTTATAGTTGATACGTATCAGTAATTAACTGAATATTAATGTATATTTGTTGTCTAATGGAATTCATTTAGGATGACAAAAACATGTAATAAGTTGTTGATTCATGAATATTAATGGAACAAAGACTGAGTGCATGCAATAATAATTCTCAGTCGTGCATACATAACATATATTAAAATTTCGGTATGTCGCAGTTGATTAATTCATTTTAAGTAACATCGCTGATCTTACTTTTAACCACTTGTAATTGTTCTGTTACAATTATATAAACAATAAATTAGTGTACTCATAACTAATATAATATTAACGTCAAATCATGCTCTTGATATGTATAATTATATATGTGGTAGTTGATGTTTCCTTTAGTTTTTCAACCTTTATGTGTTTTGGAGATGTTATAATCATTTTCCTCAATAGACAGATTAATTATTCAATGAAAAAAAATGACATGATGAGTGCAGGTCTGTGGTAGATTGATTATGAGATGACTAGACGTTCTTGTAATATATATTTATCATAATATGTGGTTAACATTTTTGTGCTAAAATAAACAGAAGGGAAAATTTAGACAAAGAAAATGAATAAAGAAAAGAGTAATCTTTTACCTAGTAATAAGAGGGCACAAGAAAGAAGAGCACAAGAACAGTTCCTTCACTTTCATTGATCAATTATATAAACAAGAATTACGGAATTAATGCATCCAAATATGCCTGAGTTCTTAAAGCAACCAGGCAGATTCCCACGATCAAAATCATGAGAGGAACCTTAAACTAAGATCCAGAAAACCATAGCGAAAGGCGACAGCCATAGCTCATTGATGACAAACTAGCTTCAATTAACACACTCTTTATTCCCACAATTACACATATGAAAATTAAAAAACAAGGAGAAATTAACTCAAGGATTGAGTGATTTGGAAGATAGAAACCATTTGGTAAAGTTTTTAAGGGTGTCACTATCAGCTCTGTAGTGGAACTGTGTGAATCGAAGCAAATCTGACCATGTGAAATCGGGGTACATCCTGGTCCCTTGGTTGCCCAGAAGATCCGATGGGGGAATCACCACCTTGTCATCTCTTGGGTTAACAAAGAAAGCCAATGATATTCTCTCCTTGTCTGTGTTAACCACTGCCCTATGCAGGCAACTCTTGTATATCCCATTTGATAATGCCTTCACATCCAACAAAATAAATTAAGACTATATATCAATGCCACATGATTTACAGGCCCACTCTTTGACATGTCAAATTAATACATACATACCCTAAACATATATACTTGTGAATATCGCAAGAGAATTATTAAGTAATAGTACACACTCTTTCAAGTGAGAAAGTCTTCCATACAGCATGATGTAATACAATAAGTCAATAAGAGAGTAAATATATTTTATTTGTGCTGATGTAACATATTCTTGTTATCTAGTTATCTTACATCATGTTGTGTAAAAGATTTTTTTCCGAACAAACATGTTTCTCTCGTTTAAATTAACCCTTCCAAATTATGCTTCCCGAGAGGTATGTTAAGAACTCCAGGTTTCGGAGATATTCTCAAATATGGTGAATTTATGGTAAGTATTTAATTAGGTATAATATTATATATATAATATTTTTTATACAACATAATGTGGTAAAAAATGATTGATTGACTTTAAATTAAAAATAATTTTTTACCTAATTAATTTTTACCATATAATATTATATGAAAAATGTTATATAAAAATGTTATACATGTAATATTATTTTCTAATCCGGAGCACAAAACAGCAGATGGACCCATAGTGCAATCACGTCAACCGAAAATTCAGATAAAACTACTAGACACACCTCATAAATTACGTTCAGATATTTATTGTTGATATTAATTTCATTCCATTTTCTACTTATAATTAATTACCAATGAAAATCTATATATTTTCCTGCACGTGATCAACTAAGCATATATATAACCTAGATCACGTAACCCACTCAATGAAAACCCAAGCCTAAAACGAAAATTTAAATAATTGGAGAAAAAGGAAAATTTTAAACAAAATTTAACTAGTATTTATCTAGAAAATGACCTTTTTAGTAAAAATATATTGACCCTAAATAAAAGGAATTGTGTAAATGTAGAAAGGTACCAGAATTTAAACCATAGTTAAGTATGGCTCCATTTGGCTTATTATTTCTACCTATATTTCCAATCTTCTTCCCAAAATACTTGTTTGTTTTGTTATTTGAGAAATATTAGTATATATTTTTTAAATATTTTAGACCCCTTAAGTTTATTAATTTCATTAAGTAACCCCAAAAAAAAGTTTAAAAATTAACAAAAACATTCCCACCCACCCATACTTGCCAGGTTCCTACAACCACCTTCGGTGGTAGCCGAAATCTATCACAACGGCCTACAAATGACCGAACTTGGCCAGTAATTCACCGATCTGGCCTTTTCCAGCCAGATCTACAGTAGATTTGATCGGAAAAGGCCAGATCTGGTCGTCAACAACAGCCAAAGAAATGTTCGTCATTGATAGTCAATGACGGCCATATCTTTGGTCGTCGTTGACAGCCAGATTTAGACTTTTACGGTCGTTGACGGCTAGATCTGACATTTTCTGACCAGATCCGTGATGGATCTGGCCGGAAAAGGCCTTATCGACGCCCTACTTGCAAGATCCAACCGGTTTACATTGTAACGCCATTTTCCGGCTAGATTCCGATGGTGGTGGCCAAAATCTGGCACTGTGGGTGGGTGGGTGTGTTTTTGTCATTTCACAAAATTTTTATATATTCGGGTGTTTAGTTAAATTAGCAAACCTAGAGTGTTTTTTTGTAAATTTTTAAATTTTACCTCGTAATACTCTACTATTCAACTACCCAAAATTATTCCCAAAATCCTATCCAAAATAATAAAACAAACGGACCCTATATTTTTTTCAGTATCAGTCAATAAATAATCAAATTAAATTTGATGTGTTATTAAGGAAAGTTGGATATGGAAACTTACCGTGAAAGTCTCACCAATATTAATGACTAGGGCACCAGGACGAGGTCGAACAGACATCCATTTGTTGTTAGTGAATACATCTAAGCCTCCCACCTCATCCTGGTAAAGTATGGTTAGCGATGTTGGGTCACGATGAGGACCTGTGCCAAGAGTAAGCCCTGTCTCTTTGCAAACAGGATAGAAGTTACATCTCACCAGAGCACAACAATCTTCAAAAAAATTTCTGTAAAAAAATCGATCGACTCCCAGGCTGATTGCCAGAAGTTCCATTATTCCCAGAGATAAGCACTTCATTGCTTCAGAATATTTTTGAAAAATCAGTCTACAAAATTCAGAAAAACTCCTTGTTACTACATATAATATGACTATACGTAAACACAAGTTAGGTTTAAGGTTAATCTTACCCTGTCTGCTCAAAATCTTCTCCTAAATGGGATTTGAAGTAGTTAACAACAACGGGTTCCTGGGAGTTCTCATGGAAGTCGATAGATAATGTCTCTTTCCAAGGCAATTTAGAGGAGAAACGATCAGTATGGGAGCTGGCATATCCACTCGTGGCTTCGGGGATTTTCTTAACCCTCGATTTTAGGGTAGGTGGTAGCTTAAAGAATTTCGCTGTTTGATCATATGCGGCACTTAAAACACGTGAATCAACACCATGATTGATCACTTGGAAGAATCCATGTTTCAAGCAAGCTTCTCTGATTCTCCTTGCAGCTTGCTGAGTTCCCATCTCGTCTCCTTTAAAGAACCCTTCAAGATCCACTAGTGGCTCATTCAGCTCTTCTTGAACTTCAACCAAGTCTCCTTTCGGCCATATGAATTGTTTGGGCACCCTTATTTGTTTCTCCCAGAATGATGAGTCCAGTTGGTGTTTTTGGTGATGGAGCAAAACTGAAGATGATGACAAGAGAAGTGAAGAATTATTTGAATCCATTTGGAGATGAAGTGAGTCAGTAAAGGGCATGATGAACCACTTAAATAGAATTGGGTAATAAAAAACAATACACTTACAATCCAATCAAACAAACCTTTACTTTCACTTACCTATTCTATTGTCTGAAAATAGAAATCTTTTCTGGTTTCAATTGTCCAATAAGGTAGATTACAAAAATTTTTATTTAATTTATTTCTTAATATAAATTTCTTTTTTACCTTTCTAATTTTTTTTTACCTCTCTAAATAAATTTTATACCATATAAATCTAAATACATCCTAGATTTCCTTGCCAAAGGTTGTACAAAGCAACTTTCATATAAAACAATGTATATTTACTTTCTCCTACTCATTCTACTGTCTAAAAATAGACATCTTTTCTGATTTTAGTTGTACAATAAGATAGATCACGAAAAATTTTATTTAAGTTATTTCTTAATATAAATTTATTTTTTTACCTTTCTAATTTTTTTTAATTCTCTATATAAATTTTATACCATATAAATCTAAATATATTCTTTATTTTCTTACCAAAGGTTGTACAAAGCAACTTTCATATAAAACAATGTACCTTTAAATTCTCTTACTCATTCTACTGACTAAAAATACACATCTTTTCCGGTTCCAGTTGTACAATAAGATCAAAAAAAAATTTATTTAAGTTATTTCTTAATATAAATTTCTTTTTTACCTTTCTAATTTTTTTACCTCTGTATATAAATTTTATACCATATAAATCTAAATACATCCTACACCAAAGGTTGTACAAAGAAACTTTCATATAAAATAATGTATCTTTACTTTCTCTTACTCATTCTATTGCCTAAAAATAGACATTTTTTCCGGTTCCAATTGTCCAAATAAGATAGATAACAAAATTTTTTATTTATGTTATTTCTTAATATAGATTTCTTTATTACCTTTTTAATATTTTTTACCTCTCTATATAAATTTTATACCATATAAATCTAATTGCATTTTCTTACCAAAGGTTGTACAAAGCAACTTTCATATAAAACAGTGTACCTTTACTTTCTCTTACTCATTCTACTGCCTAAAAGTAGACATCTTTTCCGGTTCATATTGTCCAATAAGATAGATCACAAAAATTTTTATTTATATTATTTCTTAATATAAATTTCTGTTTTTACCTTTTTAATAATTTTTACCTTTCTATATAAATTTTATACCATATAAATCTAAATACATCCTAGATTTTCTTACCAAAGGTTGTACAAAGTAACTTTCATATAAAACAATGTATCTTTACTTTCTCTTACGCATTCTACTGCCTAAAAATAGACATTTTTTCCGGTTCCAGCTATACAATAAGATATATCACAAAAACTTTTATTTACGTTATTTCTTAATATAAATTTCTTTTTTACCTTTCTAATTTTTTTACCTCTTTATATAAATTTTACACAATATAAAACTAAATACATCCTACATTTTCTTACCAAACGTTGTACAAATCAACTTTCATATAAAACAATGTACCTTTACTTTCTCTTTCTCATTCCACTGCCTAAAAATAGACATCTTTTCCGATTCCAGTTGTATAATAAGATAGATCACAAAAATTTCTATCTAAGTTATTTCTTAATAAAAATTTCTTTTTTACCTTTCTAATTTTTTTTTACCTCTTTATATAAATTTTATACCATATAAATCTAAATACATCCTAGATTTTCTTACCAAAGGTTGTACAAAAAAACTTTCATATAGAACAATGTATCTTTACTTTCTCTTACTCATTCTATTGCCTAAAAGAAGACATCTTTTCCGGTTCCAATTGTCCAATAAGATAGATAACAAACTTTTTTATTTATGTTATTTCTTAATATAAATTTCTTTATTACCTTTTTAATATTTTTTACCTCTCTATATAAATTTTATACCATATAAATCTAAATACATCCTGAATTTTCTTACCAAATGTTGTACAAAGCAACTTTCTTATCAAACAATGTACATTTACTTTCTCTTACTCATTCTACTGCTTAAAAGTAGACATCTTTTCCGGTTCAAATTGCCCAATAAGATAAATCACAAAAAATTTTATTTATGTTTTTTCTTAATATAAATTTCTTTTTTTACCTTTTTAATATTTTTTACCTTTCTGTATAAATTTTATACCATATAAATCTAAATACATCCTAGATTTTCTTACCAAAGGTTGTACAAAGAAACTTTCATATAAAACAATGTACCTTTACTTTCTCGTACTCATTCTATTGCCTAAAAGTAGACATCTTTTCCGGTTCCAATTGTCCAATAACATAGATAACAAAATTTTTTATTTGTTATTTCTTAACATAAATTTCTTTATTACCTTTTTAATATTTTTTACCTCTCTATATAAATTTTATACCATATAAATCTAAATACATCCTACATTTTCTTACCAAAGGTTGTACAAAGCCACTTTCATATAAAACAATGTACCTTTACTTTCTCTTACTCATTCTACTGCCTAAAAGTAGACATCTTTTCATGTTCAAATTGTCCAATAAGATAGATCACAAACATTTTTATTTATGTTATTAATTTCTTAATATAAATTTCTTTTTTACCTTTTTACTATTTTTTACCTCTCGATATAAATTTTATACCATATAAATCTAAATACATCCTAGATTTTCTTACCAAAGGTTGTACAAAGCAACTTTCATATAAAACAATGTACCTTTACTTTCTCTTACTCATTCTACTGCCAAAAAATAGGCATTTTTTTCGGTTCCAATTGTACAATAAGAGAAATCACAAAAACTTTTATTTAAGTTATTTCTTAATGTAAATTTCTTTATTACCTTTCTAATTTTTTTTTTTTTACCTCTCTATATAAATTTTATATCATATAAACCTAAATACATCCTACATTTTCTTACCAAGGGTTTTACAAAGCAACTTTCATATAAAACAATATACATTTACTTTCTCTTACTCATTCTACTGCCTAATATTAGACATCTTTTCCGGTTCCAGTTGTATAATAAGATAGATCACAAAAAATTTTATTTATGTTATTTCCTAATATAAATTTCTTTTTTACCTTTCTAATTTTTTGTACCTCTCTATATAAATTTTATACCATATAAATCTAAATACATCCTACATTTTCTTACCAAAGGTTGTACAAAGCAACTTTCATATAAAATCGCGTACCTTTACTTTCTCTTACTCATTCTACCTAAAAGTAGACATCTTTTCTGGTTCCAATTGTCCAATAAGATAGATCACAAAAATTTTTATTTATGTTATTTTTTAATATAAATTTCTTTTTTACCTTTTTAATATTTTTTATATTTCTATGTAAATTTTATACCATATAAATCTAAACACATCCTACATTTTCTTACCAAAGGTTGTACAAAGCAACTTTCGTATAAAACAATGTACTTTTACTTTCTCTTACTCATTCTACTGCCTAATATTAGACATTTTTTCCGATTCCAGTTGTACAATAAGATGGATCACAAAAATTTTTATTTAAGTTATTTCTTAATGTAAATTTCTTTTTTTCCTTTCTAATTTTTTTTTACCTCTCTATATAAATTTGATACCATATAAATCTAAACACATCCTACATTTTCTTACCAAAGGCTATACAAAGCAACTTTCATATAAAACAATGTACGTTTACTTTCTCTTACTCATTCTACTGCTTAAAAATATACATCTTTTCCGGTTCCCGTTGTATAATATGATAGATCACACAAATTTTTATGTAAGTTATTTCTTTATATAAATTTCTTTTTTACGTTTCTAATTTTTTTTTACCTCTCTATATAAATTTATACCATATAAATCTAAATACATTCTACATTTTCTTACCAAAGGTTGTACAAAGCAACTTTCATATAAAACAATATACCTTTACTTTCTCTTACTCATTCTACTAACTGAAAATAGACATCTTTTCCCGTTCTAGTTGTACAATAAGATGGATCACAAAATTTTTTATTCGAGTTATTTTCATAATATAAATTTCTTTTTAACCTTTCTAATTTTTTTTTACTTCTCTATATAAATTTTATACCATATAAATCTAAATAAATCCTACATTTTCTTACCAAAGGTTGTACAAAGCAACTTTCATATAAAACAAGGTACCTTTACTTTCTCTTGGTCATTCTCCTACCTAAAATGGACATGTTTTCCGGTTCTAGTTGTTAATAAGATAGATCACAAAATTTTTTATTTAAGCTATTTCTTAATATAAATTTCTTTTTTACGTTTCCTATTTTTTTACCTCTCTATATAAATTTTTTACCATATAAATCTAAATACATCCTACATTTTCTTACCAAAGGTTGTACAAAGCAACTTTCGTATAAAACAGTGTACCTTTACTTTCTCTTACTCATTCTACTACCTAAAAATAGACATTTTTCCAGTTCCAGTTGTACAATAAGATAGATCACAAAATGTTTTATTTAAGTTATTTCTTAATATAAATTTCTTTTTTACCTTTCTAATTTTTTTTATCTCTCTATATAAATTTTAGATTTTATTCATATAAAACTAAACTATCTATTAAATATGAATGTTATTATACAAATAATAATACAGCATATAATTAAAGATCAATAGCTAATAATCTTAATCTTGAGAGATGCTATTTAATTATATTTAGTATTTGTATGGGCCAAAAATCGTATTGAACCTGACGAGGTCCAATAACAAAATGACAATGTCACAGCCTAAAGGCCTTAGCCCAATTTTGATTGGACCCATGCTTAAACTACCTTGTGAAATGCCTACTCAATGAGTTTGGCCACCCCACAAGTTGAGCTGAATTGGGGCCCATTCACTCACAGCAGTCCACAATAAGAATCGGACTCCTGGATAATTTTCTTTTCTAACAAGATCCCATATCTCACCCAAAAAGGAAAGCATGAATGAATAAAGGCAAGAAATATAATCTCCTTCCAAAAGGAGGACTCTCATACTAAGTAGGAATCAGAGTCCTACTAGGATTCGAACCGCTTGGGTTCA